AGGAGTTAGGAAAGAGCTTTGAGAACTGTCTAGTTAATTTCCCCATATCAAGTTCTGAGTGAAAATGTATTTCTTCTTACAATCAGACCATCTTTGATTAGACTTGCTAGACCATTTTATTCCTACTTAAAGTCTATAGATGAAAGCAGTTCATTCCAGAATTTAGAAAACTGAAATCAGGCTTGAAAATAAAGCAAAGTGGGCACCTCCTTCCCTCTGGTTTTATTAAGGCAGGCATCACCAGAGTCCCAGTGGAAGGGGGAGGCTGGTGGCAGGAGGCCAAGTGCCTCTACACAGGGCCAGAAGGATGAACTGGATGAAAGGAGCTGAGTGCCCGGTAGCTCCAGTCTGAGAATCTCAGTTTGAAGATGAGGCCATCAGAGGCAATAAATCCCAAGATTAGTGATCAGTCCTGCAATTAAGGAACCAGCCTGTGGCCTCGAGGCCCGAGAGATCCATGTAGACTAGCCAGTAGGGTTGGGGGGCTGGATCTGTGAAGGGTCCAAAGTTTAGAATCACCCTGGTGATGGCTTCTAGGCCTGTCAGTCAGGGTATTATCTCGATTATGTTAACTGAAGAGGAAGACCCGCCCATTGTGGGAGGCACCATCCCCAGGCTGGGACTGGGGCCAATGGTGGAAACCGGACCAGAGTAGCACCCTGCGGCCCTTATTTCTGTGGATGGAATGTGACCAGCTACTTCAAGCTCCTGTTACCCTATCCTCCCACCATAAAGGACTGTGCTTTGAACTGTGAGCTAAAACAAACCCTTTCTCCCTTAAATTGCTTTTGACAGATTATTTTATCACAGCAACAGAAAAGGAAGGAAGATGTTGTCCTTTTAGTAAATTAGCTCCATAAAGGAAGCAGGCAACTCCAATGCCCAGAGCCTTAAGCACTGGAAACAAGTTTCTCTTCAGTGCCTCAAGGATTTTGCCACAGGGGCCTGGGGAGGGTTCACAGTGTGAGGCATGAAATTACTAGGGGAGTTGAACTGAAGCACAGTTAAACATGCATTACTGGTTTTCTCTTGCAGAGGCAGAAAGGTATGCCGCCCTTTGTCACCCAGCATATGGGTCAGGGCAGACACACCTAATGGACAAGTTAGCCAGAGAGATGCAAGACTTCACTAGCCAAGGGTTTCCAGTCAGGAGCCTGAAGAGCAGGACCCAGGACCCAGGGATCCTATTTCACACAGGAGGAAACATGGACAGCTATGCAGAAATGGGGGGGTCCAAAGAACAGGTGCTACTGTGACAGGCCAACGAGACAGGAGACGCTCTTCACAGGCAGTTCTTACACAGAATGGTAGGGGAAGGTGAGACATACTTCGGGGTTTTAGGGAAGAGAGGATTCTCATTTCTTTGGCTTGGGGACAAGGAAGTCTGGTCTCTAGAGCCCACTGCTGAGGACCAAGAGGATCAGAGGAGGAAAGGCAGAGGATCAGAAAGATCCTGCATTGGAGCCCTTCCTTTAGTTTACTGTTCAGGGCACCATGGTGCCCCACTTTGGAGGGTTACTTCTGAGCCCCGACAGGTCAAAATATCATTCAAGGTAGGGTAAAGGCATTCAGAGCAATGTATTATTTTAAAATTTTATTATTTTTATGTGTATGAGTGCACTGTCTGCATGTAAGTGTACCATGTCATGCAAAGCCAACGGAGGTCAGAAGAGGGCGCTGGATCCCCTGGAACTGGAGTTACGGATGGTTGTTAGCTGCCATGTGGATTCTGGGAATTGAAGTCTGGTCCTCTGCAAGAGCAGCTAGTGCTCTTAACTGCTGAGCCCTCTCTCCAACCCTGGCAATATTATTTTAACCATTCATATAGATTTGAGTGCTACAGTTGATTAAATATTAAATTGATAGGCACACGCATGTTTAAATGGCAGTTTCTGAAAGTGGGGTCCCTATGAAGGTTTTCTGAATCAACGGCTTCCATTTTATTGAACATTATTTTCTGCTAGGTTGGGCTTTATGATGAGGGAGCTCTCCGAGAATAGAAATGATCCTCCCAGAAGTTAACCACATATAACAAACTGTTTAATCCTCTGAGAGTACAGGTAAGTGAGGCGCCTGCTTTGTGTTTGAGTCCTTTTCTTTCCTGTTTCTTTTTTTTCAGTACAAACCTCTTTAACTCCATTTGGAAGCTCTCACAAGTATAGTCTCAAAAGGTTTGGTCGCCATCTAGTGGATAATCAGACGGCAACAGTCAAAATAACTGCCAGCCCCTGCACAGGATAAATCTCTATTTTAAAACCTTCAACTTGGTTAACTTCATTATCAGAAACTTATTTCTAACCCCCACCAGCCCCACCACGGCTGTCACAGTGTGGCAGGCTCCATGACACATACTTCATTGTCAGAAGGGGCTCAAAGACCTCTGGGAAGGTTTCCAGTTGTCCCTGCCCTCTAACCAGGATTTCCTTGGAAAGCCTGACTCACTTCTGGATGTGCATGCTGAGGTGAGCCTGGTGCCACACATCGCCTTACGTTTTTACTTTCTGTGTCTGCAGCTTACTCCACACCTGCCACTCCTCAGCGCCTTCTGGGCAAGGGCTCAAGCAGTTCATAGAGACGTGATGCACGGAGCGTGCGTGTCAGCCATGCTTGTCAACAGCATCAGAATGAAGTTTGGAGAAGCAGAAAAACCATCCTGAGAAACTATTTGCAATAACCGGAGTGGTAAATAGAGATTCAGAAAGACAACTGCATTAAAACACACACACACACACACACACACACAGAGAGAGAGAGAGAGAGAGAGAGAGAGAGAGAGAGAGAGAGAGAGAGAGAGAGAGAGAGACCAGAGAAGAGAGAGAGAGAGAGAGAGAGAGAGAGAGAGAGAGAGATCAGAAATATCCAGATATTTTCTACTCTTTAATTAACCTCAAGGAAGGGAACCAAGTTCACAAAACTTACATGAATTCTGTTTTGTTACATACAAAACCAAACATTATGGCAGCAAATGAACTTGCTGAATATCTTCACAGTACCTTGCACATGTACAAAAATAAATAAGCACTGCCTCTGTAACCTTGAATACAGTACCAGCACTTTGCATTTCTACCTAACCGTTCAAGTACATAAGTGTCGGAACAAAGCAGCAGCTGATGTTTGTATCACATCAGAGACTCCCATCTTTCTGCAAGGCGACCCAACAGGCCAAAGGGCCAGAACGAACCATCTTCCTTTTACTTCCTTTTCAGAGTTACCCATTGTTTCCCCCACAGTCTGTGACAGGTCACTAATTCTATCACTTTCAAGTCAGTTACAAACCCTCAGAACCTTTGGTCATTTAAAGATCTGGGAAACAGCCTAAACCCAAGCCATCAACAAATACCGATACAGCTTTGTGATTTTTCTCCACTCACCGATCCACTCCCCAAATATTTTTTCCTTATGTTCTTGGGTTTGATTGGTTTAAATGCAAGGACTGTGTAAACACCTCAAATGAGCGGCACTTCTCAGAAGTACAGTGATTTTTCACTAGACCTGCAGGACTCTCAGGTTTGGGCTTAAATTGATTGAGTTCAGGATTCAGCCTCAAATATCATCTACTAGCATATGACACTCAGCGCATGGAGCTGTGTGGCATGTTATCAGAGGCCGTTAAACAAACGCTGTGCTTAGTTAACTGTAATAAATGTAACTTTAGCAGCTCTGTTCATTAGGAGCCCTGATTCTACCCAACAACACTGGTTAACATGGACAACCAACCCAGGGCAAAGAGGTAAACAAAGTCACTCTTTCAGCCTTCTAGGGCTGTCTAAACATAGAATATTAAATCTATTCCCAAGATCTGGAACCAACTCCAATTAAGTGAGCTAGGAACAAATGCATGAGACATTGTCTCCAAATGTCTCAGTTATGACAGTTTTCAGTTCAGACACATTCAGATGCAAGGGGAACTCCTTCACCCGCTCCAGCTGAGGTCTCTGAAACACCCGCAAGGGTGCGTATGGAAAAGAACACCTTGGAGGAGCCCCCTTAGTAGTGCCACAAGGAGGACACATGCACACCTGATATAATAACATGCTTGCATTTACTGGCTAAGGAACTTCACAAAGCGCTGCATAAACAACTCGGGAAAGATCAAGGGAGGGACCAATCATGGCACAACATATCTGTGCTCCTAGGAGCAGGGAAGTGGGCACATGGGGCACCACTCAGGAACCACAGGAAGGGAATGAAGCGCAGTGTTAAGTTACCCCAAAGCAAGGCCCACACCCCAGGGACATGTGGAGACTTTAGAGGACTATGGGGGCAGCGCCTACTATGTGTGCACCTTTCAGTCACATAAAAGGGTATCAGAACTTGGTGTAAGGGTATGATTTCTCCAGGAGGACGATTTGAAAAGAAAATAAAATTTGGGAACAAAATCCTGACAGAAACAGCCTGCAATTTAAAAGACAAAGTTCACATGTTGTTCAGTATGATTAAAACCAGGTTTTACAAAGAGGTCTTGACACTAACCTTTGCAACTGGCTTTCTTCATACACAGCTCATCCTTTTGCTGTTTCTGATGACACCTGGGGTCATGTGGGCACTAAAAGCCATTATATATTTTCAGAAGAGAGCGGGTGCTTTCAGGGTGATGTGCCTATAGACCGTTACATATTTTCAAAGGCAGCTGTTTGTCATTTGCTCCAAAGGCGAAAAAATAGAATCATAGATGCTCAAAACAAATATAATGGTTGTTTCAAGGGATCAAATCAACTAGTCATTAAAATACACTGTCCATGAAACAGCAGTCCGCCAAAGGTTTGCAGATACCAAGGGAAGTCTCACCAAGCAGATAAGACTTGAGTGCAGCTGAGGAAGGTATCTGTGGGGGAAGTAGGAAGCCACAGAGCAGATAAGGATGTTCAGGACAGCATCCAGTCACTCCATGTCTCACACACTCCTCCCTCTCCTCTCTCTCTCTCTCTCTCTCTCTCTCTCTCTCTCTCTCCCCCCCCCCCCCCCCCTCCCCTCCCCCCTCCCCCCCCCCCCCCCCCCCCCCCCCCCCCCCCCCCGCTCTCTGGAAATGTGTCCTCTTCCTTTCCTGTTCCCAAGCATGATTAGAGAATCGTGCTCTTACAAACAGAAATAGACCATTATTTTTGACCAAGGACAACAGGATCTGGGTCCCTCATCAGTAACTTAATAACTTACATTCACATGGCTCTTATGCTGTTCATGGTTACCCAACGGTCTAGGGTGCCACAGTGTTCTGTCTTGCCCCACCAAACAGAACTAATCATGCTTGGGCCCACTGGCTTTCTCACCGGAAAAATCTGCAAATGAATATAACCTGTTCGGAGACTCAGAGATGGCACCGCCACCACCTCTGAATTTAAACTGCCTCTTAAAAAATGCCAGATAAATGCACTGAACTTCTAGATGCCTTTGCCTCTGGCGAGCCAACAGCTCAGTGATAAATGGCACTCAAAATAGAAACTCATGTGCTCCCTAACTTTGGAGGAACTGAGTCTTCTCCTCGGGGAGGGGTGGGAACAGAGCAAGACAGAGTGAACGAGAGGAGAGAGAGAGGAAGGCAGGGAGGAAGAGAGGAAGAGAGGAAGGGAGGAAGGGAGGGAGGGAGAGAGAACAGAAATTTTACTTGGGGGTTTATGCAAAAGCAAGAGAGGCAATGTACCAGGAGGGCCTTCTGTCAAGCCCCAGGCTTCCTTGCATTTAAAGCAGTACACACCGTCTCCTCTGAGACACCAAGAGAAAAGGTCTTGGTTCTCCAGGGGCTGGCTAGCACAGTACTGAATTCTGTATGTAGCACATACTTTCGTTAATGTGGCTCCTGGGGTTATCACCGAATGTATCGAGTTCATTGTCCCTTTGGGCGGCGCTCCAGGATCGCGACACCGGCCGATCTTGCCATTCTTCCTTTCAGAGGTTAATTTTACTTATACATGGTTTGCTTTACTCCACTTCTTTTGATTTCTTCTTGCTGGATGAGGGGGTAAGGCAGTTATTCGAGGTCCCCTTTTTCTTAAGGTCAACATGTGCTTGTGTCCTGGGGGCCCTACAGGAGGCTGCTGAGCCCAGGAGCTCTGGGGACTGCTTGGGAATTCGGATGTTACCACTGGCTTCCATGGCAGGGTCGCTCTCACGGCAGGGCAGCTGCCGACGCTGGAACTTGGTGGTCTTGCCCGACTTCTTCTTCTTCTCTGTCTTCAATTCAGGAGCTGGCTTCTGGGCACAGAGCCTGTAGCCACCAGGTCCGTCCACAGATTTAGGTGATGTCTCAAATGCATAGTAAGATGGGCGAGCTTCTTCCTGGTGAAAACCTTTCCTTCGAGAAAGGATTGACTTTGAAGTCCCTTCTGGGGATGGTAAGGGCTTGGACAGAGCACCAGCCAGGAGCCTGCTCCTCCCTGGGCTTTTGAGAATCCCAGAGGCCCCTGATGCAGTGGGAGGCCTGGCCTTGGCGGTCCTGGCCTTCTCCCACTGCACAGTCTGGGTCTGCAGCCACTCAAGCTGGAGAAGTCTGTCTATGTACTTCCCAAGGAAGCCTGTGGGCCGCGGCAGGGTCTCACTCCTACCCTCCGTGTTCAGAACCAGAGCCATGTCCTGCAGGTCCCAGGAGCTGAAAGGAGGTGGAAGGAAGTCAGGATAACAGGGCTCAGGCTCTGCCTGGCTTGGGTTTGGGTGAAGAGAGAAGGAGACTGGGTCGATTTCTTCTGCTCGGAGGTTGAGGTCTGGAGGCGAGAAGGGGGAAGGAGGAATGGCCACTCTTTCAGAGTCTGAGAGGTCACTTGCACTGTCCTCGTCAGCACCTTCCTTGATAATTTTCATTGACTGGAAGTCCAGGAACAACTTGCTCCCAGAGGCGCCCTGACACCTGGAGCTGAGTGCATTCCGCTCTGGCCCTCTGTCAGCAGAAACACTTTCTATGAATGTACCTGCAGTGGGCCGAGAGACCCCAAGAAGGCTGCTTCTCTGCTGGGAAGGGGTGCTGGGTCCTTGGGCTCTACCCTGCCTTTTTCCTGAAGAACTCTTAGATTGTTGCACTTTATTCCCAGGCAAGCCAGCATTCATACTGCTGTGGAAAAGAAAAATGCAATTCTTAGTACATACAACTCCCCAATAATAAGGCAATCCATCCATGTTGGAGAGACAAGAAGCCCATTTAGTCTTTCAACTATTATCAGGCATGACAAAAACGCAAGGCCTCCAAATGCCTTAAAGGAGCAGTGTCTGCTGACCCTTTCCACCCCTTTCTCTAGTCATGAGCCAGTGGAAGATGCATGCTCCAAACGTGGGTACACAGATACTATTTAGCACTAATATGATTATTTAAAAACATTTTTCAATGTGTTTGTTATCATAGAACTCTTGGTCTGCTCATAAAAGTCAACAGTGTTTTAAGTTATTCAAAAGTACAGCTGGGCTTGTCAGCACACACCCTTAAAGCACTCAGGAGGCAGATGCAGAAGAATTTCTGTGAGTTTGGGGCCAGCCTGGTCTAAATAGTGAGTTACAGGTCAGCTGGGGGTATATAGTGAGATCCTGTCTCAAAGAGAAACAAAACAAAAAAAACCCCAAGAAACTACTTCCTAGAAAATATTAAACAATAAAACCTGGGGACTGGAGAGAAGGCTCAGTAGTTCATAGCATTGGCTGTTCTTGCAGAGGACCTAGGTTCGAGTGCCAGCACCCACATGGCAGCTAACGACCGTCCGTAACAAGTTCCAGGGGACCCAACACCCTCCTCTGACCTCCGTGGGCATTGCGTGACATGGGTGCACTTATACACATACAGGTAATACACTCAAATACATAAAATAAAAATAAAATTTAAGCTGAGCGTGGTGGCACACACCTTTAACGCAATATTAAAAAAATAAAATCTACAGCCTCCTTTTGGAAACCTACTTTAGGGTACATGTACATACAGTGTCAAATGCAGGTTTTGGAGGCTTGGATGTAGCTCAGCAGTTCATCACCTGCCCTACATGTACAAATCCCTAGTACTGAAAAAAATTTGCAAGTTTTTCTTTTTCCTTTTTTTTATGTGTATGTTTCTGCACATGTGTAAGCTCACATGTATGAGTGTCATACACATGGGTGCCAGTGCCTGAAGTGGACATCAGGAATCGTTCTCCATGGCTCTTCTACCTTATTTGAGGCAAGCTCTCTCAGTCAAACCCAGAGCTCATCAACATGACTAGTCTTTTTTTTTTTTTTTTTTTAAATCATGTTGTCTGTGTGTGCGTAGGTGCAGGTGAGTACAGGTGCCAGAGAAGGCCAGAGGCATCAGATCTCCTTGGGGCTGGAGTTACGGGCAGTGGTGAGTCCCTGATGTGGGTCCTGGCAACTGAGTTCATGTCCTCAGCAACAAGATCAGTATGTGTTCCTAACCACTGAGCCATCTCTCCAATCAGATAAGGCTCTTCTTGCTAGTCAGCTTGCTCTAGGGATCCCGTCTCCACCCTTCAAGGCTGGAATTACAGGCTTCTGCCACTCACCTCGCATTTACAGAGGTGTCTGGGGATTCAAACTCTGATCCTCATGCTTGTGCTGTGAAGTGCTTTAACCACTGAGCCATCTCCCAGCCCAGTTTTTCACTGCTTAACCAGTAATTGGTGGAAATTTTGAGCCATTAAAATCTTCATATGTAAAAGCATAGTACCGTAAACCTATATACCATGAACCCAAAGTCAGTATCTTTTCAAATAGGAAACACTCGGGGAAAGTTGTGTTTAATAGAAGGGGCTGACGAGATGACTCAGCAGGTAAAGGTACTTGCCTCCAAGCCTGACAGCCTCAGTTTGATTCCTGGGACCTTCATGGTGGAAGGAGAGAACCCACTCCTCCAAGATGTCAAATGACCTCCTCACGTGTACCAAGGCGCACACACACACACACACACACACACACACACACAAAATGTATTTTAAAAAAGGACATAAATAAAACTGTATGGTGTCATTATAATTCAAAAAGATAAAAAAATTGAATATAAACGAAAATGGATGTTGTCTTGTGAATGGCAGGCAAAAAGAAATCACAAATACTGTGCAAATGTTAAAATAACAATGAATTCTTTCTAGGGTAATCAACCCTGAGGCAGACTCTCTTTCTAAGGTAATCTACCCTGAGGCAGACTCTCTTTCTAGGGTAATCTACCCTGGGGCAGACTCTCTTTCTAGGGTAACCTACCCTGGGGTCAGATAGGGTGAT